AGATATGTGTCTTGTATCTTTCAGTACTTTTAGTTACTGAATCCAGAGAAAACATTAATTATCATGGGCAAACTGAAAGAAGAAGCACATAGAAAATGAGATATAGCAGAACTGTTTTAGGGAAGTTCTAGCTTAACTTGATAAAAGATATGATGCATTTTGCAAGATGCATTATGCCAACCAAGCAATAACTAATCTTTGTGAAATACATAAATAGAAAATCTGAATGCACAGAAAGCAAAATTAAAGCAGCTATTGATGACAATGGAATAATGTGGTGGAAACATATACCATCTGTTCTACTCGAAGTGGCTGTTGGGGAATCTGGTAACAAGCCACACATGACAGCTTCCGCCGTTTTCCTGTACGATTGCAGACTCTTCATATCTGCATTTGAGGATTCGGATGAGCTAAAGAAGTTTACTCTGGACAAAAGGACCTGCATGATAGATTGCAAATAACTTCAATAATGCAACAATCACTAGGTTCTGAACTTAACAACTCTTATTAGTATGATAATAAAAATGTTAAATGCTTGTATTTCCAAGCTTCTAAAATTTATAAATCTTTTCTGTGTGTGGTTCACAAGATAATGGACATCATATACAATGGAAAACAATCCATCTACTATAGTAATAAAAAAGGTTCTTCATTAAGTAAAAGATCATTTTGATGAACTGAATGAAAAGGGCATAGATGACCATGGCATAAATTAATCTATTTTAAATAATTAAACTAGCAGAAGGAGTGTTTGTTTCAACACAAATGCAGATATGCACCTGAGTTCCAGCTCGTTTGTCATCCCAGCTGAACCAAGTTGGTCTACCCCAGTCAGCATAAGCATCTCCATTTTCCCCTGTAACATAGCTTAGATATGTTTTATCACCAGTGGCATGATAAAGCCAGCTAGCTGCCCACAAGAGTTCATCACCATAACCAGTAGAGTTGTAGTATGTCTGGACTTCTGGGATGCCGGCACTGTAGATACCTCTATGTTTATCAGCAAAAGTAAATAACTTCTTGGCATGCTGAAGGAGCAAGTCTGAATAGGTACTGTTGATACTTTTGAAAACCAAAGAAGCTGCAGCCATGGCTGCAGCTGTTTCGGCAGCCACATCCGTTCCGGGAACAGTTTTGTTGACCTGAACGAGAGGCCTACTTTCAGTCATTGTTTCTGGCCTTTCCCAACATTTGTGGTCTAAATCAGGATCTCCCACCTATCAACCAGAAAAAAACAACAAAATTCACACAGTATATATTAGTGTCAGATAAAGGAAAGGGCACCCGAACTTTTAGTTCTAAAGAAAAGAAGATGAGAACTAGGCAAGATGATTCTGTAGTAGACCATTGTCATACTAATGCAAGTAAGATCAATAAGAGAAATAAGAAATTCCTGTTATTCAACAGAATAAGAATAACAAGTGCAATCATGAAAGCCAAGAGACTGAAGAATGAAAGCACTTTGCAAGGAGTTGCTATGCTATCCTGCATTGCTTGGCTGTTATAAAAGCCATGATAAATCAAATGAAGGGCATCCCTTTTTCATCTTCACAAGTAAATACTATTATATCAGGCAAAGAACAGAACTTGTACCATGATCATATCGAATAGGGTGTGAGCATGAACCATTCAGGTTATATATCTTTCTAGATTTTTATTGAACTTCTTTTAAACATTTTTATGAATAAAGAACAATAACTGGATAAGTATGAAAGGCCAAATTTATTTACAATCATATCAACTGTAGAGAGTAATCTAAAACCTAGAGTTCCTATTATTTCTTTTATTCCCTTTTTGCATGTAATTATTTAGCACTAGTTAGCCTGCATTTACAAAATACAAACTACTAGCAAAGTGGAAGGCCAACAATGTTAACTGATCTGTTGACTGTGTGACGTCAGAAAATTGCCTGTGTTGGTTTGTCATCGACCCACATTGAGATCAAAGTGGAAACCTGAATGTGCTGTGCTTCCTGCTTGTACTTAATCTTCCTAGTCATTTATTTTCATTACTAAGTAAACAAAACACATCTTGAAGCTCAATCACAAAAATAGAATAGTAAGGGGGCAAGCACATAAGCAAATATTATGTTTTCTGGAGACCATCAAAGCTGCAGCTTTGGTACGTAATTAAGTTTTCTTGCAACAGATATATCCTAGTCTGGGCAGACAAACAATTGAAACTTCTGGTTACCTGGACATACAACACGTTGTCAGAAGGATGGGCATTGATAAAAAACTCTGTGATCCACTTGAGAGCATCTAAAGCCAGATCCAGCTGGTCCACAGCCGAAATTTGATCCCCATATTCAAGGATCGACCATGACAAAACTGTTGCTGTATAAGCCATGGGAAAACCAAACTTCATGTGATCACCTGCATCATACATTCCTTTTGAAAGGTCCAATCCCGCATCTTTTCCATCATGCAAAGCCGAATCCCCTCGCCAAGTGATCTTGTTATCAACCAACTTGCCCGCTGCAGGCGATCAGGAAACAACCACAAAGAACTATAACTTCCACGTTGTGCAGAGGAAAAACAATCTGATATCTTTACAGGTAAAGCTTTTGTTTTAAGTAAATCATCGTAGACAAACAGAAATGTCATTGCTCGTGCGTAGTAGGCAAACAGAGGAATCAAAAGGCAATTTAAGATATATAGTTTTACCGCAGCACATTATACGAACAAACATATGAAGAAACAGTCTCAAGGAGCACACAAAAAGATCCAATCTTTTTTACTGGGATATCACCAACATTCTAACCAAAGAAACAAAGATTAGCAAATTTAGACCATGTAATATATCTCGATGTAAGACGAGAGACACCTTCTGTAAAGATTAACATTTTTTATATTCCCGTTAACAAAAAGGAAAAAAAAAGAAAAAGGAAATGAATGTAGAGGTCGGCAGATCTGTAGCACGACGAAGAGATGCAAATTTGGATCATAATTACGAGCAAAGCAAGAAATTGGAGGCCGAAGAGGGTGTACATTTTTGCACTTGGAAGAACTGCAGAGCCACGCCGAGCGCGTCGGCATACTTCTGGTTGATGGCCCCCGGCGGCCCCGGGACGGGGAGCACCTCCCGGTGGTGGTGCTTCTTCTTGATCGCGAACACGGCCGCGGCGACGACCAACGCCGCTATCACGAGCACTATTAGCCATCCGGAGCAGCCCTTGGTGTACTTCGACTCCCCCATTCTCAGGCCGCCACTTGTCTACCTCAAATCAACGCCCACCGCTGGCGACCATGCAATGGTGCGAAGGTCTCAGCCGGCAGAAGCAGGTTCCCGGTGGAATCTCGACCTTCGATTCCGCAGGCAATGCGGACAAATCCAAGAAGCAGGTGTCCGCCGAGATCTCGAATCGACGAGTAGGTGAAGGGTGTGCAGCGTATATAGATCTGGACGAGCAGAGGCGGGTCAGGGAGGAACCATCGGAGCCTCTGTGGGAGGGGCGTGACAGCGATGTCATCTCTGTTTCTGCGCTTTAACTCCATCGCTCTCTTTTGCCCTTCACCTTTTTACCCCTTCTGGACTCAAATACCCTTATTGTCGGTCGGTAATTACGAGAACGGATCACCGACACGACGCCATGGGCTGAGTCGTCGCGGCTGCCCGAGATCGGCTACTTCGATCCCAATAGAGAACTGACACGATCCCACCGAAATCCATCGCGTGTTAATGGGTGATAGGATAAAAGAAATGGTCAGTGTTCCAAGTGCAACACGGGATCCTGCTCTTCTGATGGCGTGAGAGAGACCGACGGACCGGTTGTTGCGCTACCGAAAACCGGGGCTCGCCGCAGAAAATGGGTCCCGCGGAATGTGGCTCTCCCAGACGACAACCACAAACTCCATTGCTATGGTCTCCGCAGCGGATCCAGCGCGCTCCCCGTCTCGCTTTGACGACTCCTTGTATCGTCCGACGAACAATACTTACTCCACGTGGTTCGGCCGAACGGTGGGACCCACTTACAACAGACGCACACACGGGCACCGATGATCGAATCACAAGGTAGGTAGGTGAAACGGGCACGAATTTGTTGTCATCATTAAGTAGTCGGAAACGTTAATTGACGGCCGTCTCTCTTTGACGCCCCTTAAGACAAACCTCCAGAAAGGCTTTATGGCACGATTACCTTCCATATGGTTGGCTCAAAAAAGTGGGTCCCTCGTTGAACACACGAAACATCCAATTACAAGGAAGGTAGCCGGGGAGTTGGTGATGGAAGAGACACGTGAAGAGAAGACAAAACATCTGATAGAGGGGGGACCTATCCTTCCCAAGACAGTTTTAAGGTCAAGTCCGCCTGATGGGGAACAACACATCCTAATTGAAATTATAATTGGTAGGTACAGTATGCCAAAGATGGTGAGATGGTAGCCGCAATCAATGTTGAAATCTCACCAACTCCGCTATCGATCAAGTATTATATGCTTCTTTTTAACTGTTGGAGCGTGACAACCGCAGCTAGATCCAAGTTGTAAGCCCATTAATTGTTCATCCATTAGATGCAGCTAAGAGTACTTAGTTCTTGATTGGATTATTTAAGTAAGAGTTTAAATGGGGTTGAGACTAGACTGAATCAGTGTCTCAATTTTAATTTTTCTTGATCGAGAGAGAATATGTAGCTTTTATATGGTGATTTAATTTTTGTCACAATGAGATATACTAGAACATATCCATTAACACTAAAGAATATATATATATATATATATATATATATATATATATATATATATATATATATTAAGAGCATTTATATGTATATCTGGGTTGACATAAAATTTATGTTTCTCATAATAATATACTTTTAAGTTTAAAAATAATATATATTTTTATTGAGTTGGATTTCGATTATTTGAGATGTGAATTATATAGCTTCCCTTAAAATTTATATCAGAAATTACTTATTTCCGAAGTATATATATATATATATATATATATATATATATATATATATATATATCTGCCATCCGCCCAAGCGTCTTGAAATCTCTTCCCGCTCTCCTCTCTATCCATCGAGTAGGGAAATGCCTCCTGGGGGCTCCTTTATCCGTCGCCGTATCTCTTTCGTGGGCTTTCCTTCTCGAGACCTCCGATCGCGACTGAGCGAGAGGGGAAGCGGACGAGGAGGACGATGAGCGATCGAAGCGGTCCATCAACGCGGTGATCTATTGGGTGGGTGAAGCCGCAGCCACCTGAGGTGGCGGTCTTCCTCTCAGTCGTCGCGGGGATAGGGCGCTCGCCTTCCTCCGCTTCACGGTCCGCGATTACGGCAACCTCTTTCGTCACCGTCGAGGCCGCCCACGCCCTCGGGCTCTCCGTCCTCATCTATTAGCTAACCGAGGCGCGAGCTTGCGCCGGTAAGCCACCTTTCCCACTCTTGTTCGATCGTTGCGTGCAATTCATGTTTGATTTATCGGATCATGAATCCGTGAGAAGTTGTTATTTCTTTTGTAATTTGTGTTACTTGACCCCAAATCACGAAGAAGAAGAGAGGGAGTTTTAGATTCAGCCCTTGAGACAGAGGCCACCAACAGTGGAGCTTTGAGTTGGGGACATTCCTGCATAAGAAATTAGAATTCCAATCGGAAATAGTGGATCCAATCATATGTTTGTTCTAATAATTCATAGATGAAGCTTTTGATAAATATGTTTATATAACTCAATTTTTGGCTCATTATATTTCCTTTGCCAATGAAGTTAAACGCAAGCCTCGATGTTAAAAAAGGGATTCCCGTGCACTGGAGCTACTTTTTTGTGTAAGCTTGAGTTGATCTTTTTTTTTCATCTACAAATGTTTTGATACTGCAAGCCTTCGGCTGAAGTCTAAAGATTTCTATGTAGTTAAAGACAATACTATTCGACTACATGATATCATCCAATAGAGGATTTAATTGATGCAATGAACACAGAGTCAATGACGCCTGTTTCCATAAATTTGCTTAATATTAATATTTACTGAACAGACTTTTATTTCATTTCACAGGTCTTGGATACTGACGGCTATTGACTGCTTTCGTCTATGGTTCTTCTTGCTGAAATCATTCAAACCTTTGTTCCAGCAGATTTTTGTTATTATTGTGGGAAGAGGTAACTTTTCAAGATTAAGATTTATTGCACCTGTGAGATTAGTTTCGAATTCTGACCCTATTTCTGTCTCCCTTTCGTTTTTGCCCCTCCTCACTGTTTCAGCCTTGTTGGTGGACAACTGGTGCTACGGCTTCCCTCTGTGTGAGGCCTGCAATTACTGTGGACAGTCATGTCAACATTACTGAGAACTATAATCCTGGAAATTGAAGCAGGGGGAGAGGCTTTGCGTCTGTCTAGCTCTTTACTTCCATGAAGGCACCGCACCGTCTGAGCTATTCAAGGATCAGTAGTCTGATAAAAATTGAGAACCTCGTGGATTGCTTGCTGGCTTCACCCTCATAATCATCTTTCCGTATTCGTTGAATCAACACCAAGAAATTACTATCTATGTATTGGACGTCTGCAAAGCTGAACTTGTGATGAACAAATTTTCCTTATTTCAAAATAGGATTCCTGTACAAAGTAATGCAGCTTTCACTTGAGATTATTTCTTTCCAGTTACCAGTGAGCTCAGAATTTTTTTGCTGGAGCTAACTTCAACAACCGAGTTCTGAAGGTAATAAATCTCGTAGGGATTTCATCTTTATATACCACTTTCTTTATCAAAATTAGCTACTATTTATTTTGTCACTTTGCAATATTTTAAGGAGTTCATTAGCCAACACTTCTTCTCTCGCAAGAAAAGACTCTTCGGGTGCTTGTATCGGTCATGCTTGGATAGTTAGATTTTGTCAAGACAATGCAATTAGAAAAGAAAGAATGAGAGAGCAGCATCCTAAAGATGATCAAACTGCACCATCAGGTAACTTCGTAAATATCTTTTTGATACAATCAATGTGATAGATACGCTGAAATCTCTTTCTGGTCACTATCAGCTCAGCTAAAATCTACTATATTTGTATTCTCTAATTCAGCTAGAATAACCAGGTGTCAATACAAGTTTATGAGATGGCAATCTAAACTTAATTCTGTTATCTATTACTACTTTGCATTGCTCTGTGTACCGGGATTCATGTCAAGTTAAGAATTTGTTTCAGTACCCTTAATGATCCTTTGTCAACTAAATCACATCCTCTGACATTGTAGTCCTTCAGTCTCTAGACAATGCAGAAACTCTCCCATCAAACAATTAATTCATGGGAAAGAATCACACATTTGCTTTCGTCCTTTATGTTCCACAGTGATCGCCTGCCTCCTTCGTGAAAAGACTACTCATGCTGACGGCAAAGTGGCACAACTGGTAACTTTTCTTGCTTTTTGGAGAGTCACACAGCGAATGGGACACTGTAAGTCGACTCTCTTTAAGCAGCAATACCAACATATAGCGATTCCATCTGTCATCTTCAATGCTCTCTCTCTCTGTGCTTTCCTCTTCTCACAGTGAAAGTAGCAATACTATACAATATGCGTATAACTGTGTTAAGGCTTTCTCTGTTCCCTAGGAGTGGATAATGAATGGGGCATCGGAAAGAGGAGGTGTTTGTGGCGCCTTTTATGTCATTCTTCTGAGGTAAAGTTCTCGCTCGGCAAGTAATTGTTTTTGTAATGCAAGTGCGCATTAGCTCTTAGTGAGCTGAGTCGTGCGCCAAAGGGCGCCTGCCACGGGACGAGAGGCGTCCGACGTTGAGGGACAGGTGGGGTTCCGCTCTCGGCGGTCGGATCAGAGGAGGACGATGGGCGATGTAGTTCGAGCTCATTTAAAGCAGGGTTGGAGGGAATGACAGGGTGCAGAGTACGGCGGATGTTGGAGGAGATAAGCTTCGATCCTTTGTCTCATTAGATCGTTGGTTTAAAGAGGCGATTCTAGCAATTAAAATGAGCATCTTTGCTACTTGAGATTGTGGTGGGCACTCATTATTGTCTTCTCTTTCGGTTTTCTTGCATGGCTTTGCCCTATTTGTTAGGGTTCCTTTGTGTGGAAGACAATGAAGTGTTGACGAATGAGTCTCGGTGCTCTCTTTAGTGGTTGTGAAGACTTTTCCTTTTCTTTCGGCCTTCTTCTTCTATTTACTATATCTTCTTTTGCGAGTGGAGTTCACTTCAGTTTAGTAATCTGGAGGCAGTGGATGCGGCTTTGGGGACTACTTTTTCGCAACTTGGTTGGAGGTTGGGGGATTAATTGTTTGGCTTCCTTCCATTCGACTTCTTTTTGGCCTCGTATTTGTTTGAACGACCCCATGAATGTCCAAAAGAACAACAAAAAGAAAACCCTCCCTTTCTCCGACTTCTCTGTTTCTGAGCTCATACGACGAAGCTTTCTGTCCCTCCTCTCTTTCTTGCTTCTACCTTTGGCTTCGTCTTCATCTCCTTTTGTTTTATTTTCCTTTTCCTTGTTCCTTTTCTGCTGGTTTTTCGCTTATCTTAGCTTATTATTTGTTTACGGTCTCGGTTATCTGCAGCCAAGGTGATAAGAAGAAGACATTTTTTCTCTCTTCCAAGTGAAGGCTCCCATAAGACAAAGAGGTACTTCTTTCTTGTATATTATCTCCTATTACTCCCACCGGGCATCTCATTCTCTCTCTGTTGCTTCTTTGAAGCGTCTTCATGGTGGATAGATACGTCATAAAACTCGCAGAAGAATGATAAAAATCCTTTTGTCTCCCTCCTCTATCTTCCAATTCATCTGGAAGTAGCCATGGAGAAGAAGATCCGATCGCCCGATCAATGAGGGCATGGGTCGTCGGATAAGGACAGCAAGGGATCGCCAGATTTGACGCGTGGAAGAAGCACGGCGTGTAGGTCCTCGCCCACAAAGGGACAGCCAACTGGCTCCTCCTCGCGTATCGGTACTTGGCAGTCTCCCTTCCTCTAATTCCCCTGCCCTCTCTTCTATTTACTTCTGGAGTACCGAGATGATTATTTTTTTATGAAGTTAAACCAAGAAACTGTTTTGCTGTCATATCTGCTTCTCCGTTGGATAACGTGTGCGGACCAGCTTGTTTGTTATTTTGTCTTCTTGCATGCTCTGCTTCCTTCTTTCCCTTGCTTGGTTATGTTTGGTGCTCCAGTCGTTAATTCTTTAGTTCCTTTCTGATCTTTGGCGGTTTCGAGTGACAAAGGTGACTATAGTGGTGGAGATGGAGTAAATGAGATTCGGAGATGGTTAGGTGGAAGAAGGAGAAGGTCAGCAGGGTTTCAAGGTGGAGCTTGAGCCATAACGAGGCATTGGGAGAAGCAGGCGGCGGCAGGTCGGAAGAAGAAGGTGCACGTTTTTGGCCGATGCTTACTACTCCCACTTCCGCTAGTCTAACTAACAGGAAGAGAGCTAGGCTTGATGGAAAGGTTCGATTTTCCCCTTTATTTGTTACTTATTGATTTTTTTGAGCTATTTTTATGTGACTCATTTCAAACTTCAAAAGGTGGTTGATGATTGTGATGCTGTTGATCCTTCACCCGTGCCAAGGAAATTGAGATCAGGTATCATTAACTGTTGTGTATTGCTTTTTTAAAGCTATTTCCTCAAAGCTTATCTTTATGACTTTTTTAATACATTACATGTTCTTTATTTATGTTTAGGATAAGCTTGATGCCAGAAATCTCTAGTCTTTTCACTTTCTGGTTCTTTGTGCGTGTGCAGTAGTTATATCTTGTCCTTACCAAAAAAATGTAGGGACTCTATAGTTCTTTAGGAGCTTTTCTAAATATAAGAAGTTTTACAAGTTGGCTTCAACTCTTTTTTTGTGTTTTTCCAAGCACTGTGAGTTAGTTATATGGAGTTGCATAATCTCTGCTTCTTGATTCATGGTATATGTGGCTGCTCTGCTAGAAATTAAGAAAGTTTTGGGATGTCCTATATTATTGGCTGGTTTAAGTTATCTGTATGGTTGACGATCCCTGGATCTTTTCTGCTTCAGCTATCAATAAATGCAGCAGCCAGTCATCTTCTCCTGCAATACCAGGTGCAAAGAAGAAACCCTATGATACTTTTAATGGGCTCCAAGTGCTGCATGGGAATGGTGGAAGGAGATGCAAGCAAAATGTGGTCAGTTTCTTTTGTAGTTTTTTCTTTTGATGTTTGTTTGGTTTATGCCCACAGGTCCGAGATAAATGACTTTTATTTTCTGTATGAAAGCTGCTTGGCTCATTAACTGAGGATGAAAAGGAAGTACTCGAAGCCTTGTGTGCATTATCCAGAATTCTACCTATTAAAGAGAGAATTCAGGATGATAAAGACAGGGAAATCTCCGAGAATCACCAGGATAATATTGCTACCCCAACAACTCATTCGGAAGGCGAGTTTTTATTGCTTTCGTGCTTAACTGCTTTATCCATTGATTCCTATGTGTGTATTCCTTTTGGTTTTGACTTTTGTTGGATGGAATTCAAGTATAATATCTTACTCAACAGCTATGAAAGAGGACAAAAATCTTTTGCAACAAAACACTACCACTGGAATTAAGAGTCCCTCTTTTTGTTTGGAGAAGACATTAGAAAAACCAATGAAGGATGAACATGCTATTTCCAAGCAACCTGACACAAATTCTGGAATGCAAACTATTGATTCAGGTTTGAGTATAGCCCCTGATTCTGGAAGTCATATAACTCTAACTGAAAATGTGCACCCAGAAAATATTCCTGGAAATCTTCAAAGTTTTTTGAGCCCCTCAGGAGTTTTGCCTCGTCATTGTACTGAAAATAGGTAGATCCTGCATGTTTCATGTTATATTTCATTTGGTAATGTTTAATTAACAAATTGATGTCTTTCTTATTCAATTTGCCATTTATTTCCTTTCTGTGCAGAACACTGCAACCTACTCGATGTGGTTCTATCATAGCCTTTCCACCATGCAAATCAGAAATGTTACAACCAGTAATGCTGAATCCCTGACCTCAGATTAAGGTTCAACATTTTTTATCCAGTGACATGAATTCTTTTTCGTTGCTTTCAGAATGGATGTGTTGGATCCGCTGCACTGAAACATGAGGTTCAATATTTGAAGCATAACAGTGAAAGCAGTACAAAACTTGTGTACCAGAAAGGTATTGATCATATATCACAGATGAACATACCACATGCAAAATAATTTTGATCATCTTATGTTTGGCTTATGATTCAATTAATTGTTGTGTAACCTCCAGATATATTTGTCAGGAAATGTTCCGCCCCATATTCAGCTTTCTTCATGCAATTCTGCAGTTTGGCCTGGCCCTGCCACTAGTATTACTTCAAAAGAAGTTGATCTTCCAACTATGAAGGTGGTTTATGAATTACATAAAAAGTTGCTCTTTTATAGTTCAAGAGATGTAGTACATTGGTCTTGAGATCAAGCTTAGCATACATTCATGCTGTGTTTACTACATCACTTCTGTAGGTTTAGTTGACACTGTCAAATTGCTGGAAAGTATCAAATCTAGTTTGCTATATTCAGGATATCAGTCTTCTTGATTGCTCGTAGGTTTAGTTGTTGCTTTTACCAGAATGAGAGAATTATCATTTCCATGTATTTTGGCATTTTTCTTAGTACTCGAGTACTAAAGCTTTGTTACTAAGGTTCAATCGAGGCATCTTGTTTAACACCTCATGTGGTCAGGTATCTAAACTGAAATCAGTCTACGACTATTACTATTTGTGTTGCTGCGTCAGTCTACACCTCATTTGCCTTATTGGTAGTCTTGTATTTTCATTTAGTCTTGTATTTGTGTAGCTGCATCAGTAGGTTCTCTCTTTGCAGGTTCCTCTTGATGTAACACCATTATGGAAAAAGTGCGCTATTCATGTATTCATAAGCCATATGATAAAAAGCTACCAGGAAAAGGAGCAGCAGCACACACTCGTACTGCCATCTGAGGACTCAAAGTCCAGGGTTGGGTCGGAATCATGTGAACTAGTAAACAATGAGAGAGCTGGTTTACAAAGTAGATTGAAAATGGTGGCATCTGTTGCTATCTATGGTTCTACAGTGGAGAGGAGCAAACATGCAGGAACAAATGAAATTTCATGTAACAGAAGACTTGTTTCAGCTCACATATCATCAGTCTTATCTGAGTACAAACAAAAGCAGGTAATTTCTATTAATTGTCCTCTGTTTTTCTTTTTCCACTTGCTGTTCCTAATGATTTGCCTTTGCATCTTCCTCAGAGCTGTGATTTTCTTTCGTTATCCACTAACGGTGATGCTGGTAGTACTGCAAATGGAGTGAAGGCTCCTGTGCAGCTTCATTCTCCCTTTTTCCATGCCCAGGTTCCCTTCCCAGTCTCTCATGTACCATATGTTCCAGCTTACCCAGAGAAGCTAGTTGCTCCAGCTACTCAACAGGTACTCATAAACTCTCTGTGAATAACATTTTCCACAAATGGCTGTTTAGTATTAAAATCAATTGGTGGAGATCATCACAAATTCAAATTTCATTTGTTAATGGATCATTTTTTACGAGTGGTTTTATCGATTATTATCCTGTTCAGATACTCCCTCTCTCTCTCTCTCTCTCTCTCTCTCTTGATTCAGGTTTCTTGGAGGTTAAATGGTTGTTTTTCTTTGTAGGTGCAACCACAATTACCACATTATGCAGGCAACCCGTTCTATGGACCACAAATGAACAACACCATAGGCAATTCACAGCAGCAGCACCAGCAGCAACAGATATGTCAAGCTCATATTGCACGCTATAGGTCCCCAGTTGGCATTGCTGTGTTGCAGAATGATCAAATACATAACTCTCTCTCTCCTTCTACACAACTGCAAGGTTTCTTATCACTATCCTCCAAACCAAAGCCTCAGCAGCAGCAGCACCACCACCAACTTAGTCTGCACGGCAGGAGACAACACAAAGATCCCCATCAGTTTCAGCTGCTGTACAGCACGAGTCGTTCCTGAAGACAAGTGATCAGATGGAATGAAGGCATTTAAGCTCGGGCTTGCGTCCATGTAAGCCATGAGATATGCTTAATCAAGATGATGGACTACTGGCTCACCAGATGCTGCTCATTGAATTCTAGGTGAAGCTTTGTACAACAGGGAGCAAACATGATCCAATGTTGCTACTGTTCTCTTTATTTTTTTTTATGCTAAAGCAGTGGGCTATAGAAAGAACTCTCTGCTGTATATCTGACATTATAATCAAGTTAAAGGAGTTACAGGCCTTTTCTCATAGCCAGAGGAAAAAAAATGCTGCTCATGGTACAAAAGAGCATCCATTTTCATCTAATCTATTCGGTACTCATATTAGTTATTTTGTAAATATTTTTTGGAGGTGAGACTAGATGATTCATAAATCTTATCTGATGTTTGATCCTTAGAACTTGAATTTTGTCTACCACTTATATTTGATTGATTATTTGTACCTATATTCAAATAAAAGATTGAGTAATACGATATTTTTCTATAAATATATATTCATATTTCTATATTTTGGAGAGATTATTTTAGAAATTTGAGAAGAACAATCTTATTATTAGCGTTGAGAGAAGTCGTTAGTAACCCAGTGTGGATGCAACCGATTCAAAAAAGGTAAGTTCAACTTCATTATATCGAAGATAAGGTAAGTTCAACTTCATTATATCGAAGATAAGCTTTTATATATGATCGTAAAGGGATAGAATATTTAATAAAATAATTTGTAGGGATATAGCTTTTATCCATCTCCAACAGTCTCTTCTTAGCCTCTTGTCTACGTGGGCAATAACATGGGAGGGGGAGATAGCCCATAACTGCTTGCTTTAGACATTTGCCAACATGAGCAGATGAGTGAAGATGACCATCGTCTTCTCTTTCCACCCTAGACATCATGAGACGATTGTGTCAGATGATGATTAGTTGATGGTGTACTCTCTATCATTTGTCCTCTCCCCCCAAGACATGCTTCGGGGCTCTTACTAGAGGGGTTTGAAGTATGACATTTGATTCATCTGACACATTGAGCTCATACATCTTCAACCCATTATCGACTTAGTGGCATATTTAATTTATCCGACATGCGTTTGTCTGACACATCTAGTCTATCATGCACCTTGTATCATTCAACATAAGCTTGTCTAGCACGTTTGTCTAGGATCATCCCTCCTAACGCTGGTGGTGATCCATTACCAACCTACTCATCATATTGTCAAGGGATGCACATTAATCTAATGGGATTGAGTTTTTCAAACCTCTGCACCTTACACAAGGGTCGGGCTTCTCGACCTTCATGCCTAAGGAGGAGGTAGGGATTTGGTTACCCGACCTCCACTTCTTAGGTAGAGGTGGGGGTTGAGAAGCTCGACCCCTATGCCTCAAGCAGAGGTGGGGGTCAAACTTCCTTACCTCCATGCCTTGGGTGGAGATAGGAGTCAAGCTTCTCGATTTGTATGTCTCAGGCGGAGGAGGGGGTCGGACTTTCCTGATTCATATGCCTTGAGTATATTTTACTTTGTACCTCCCATCGTTATAAGTTTCTTCTGATGAAGATTCGATTTTTTCGACTCATGTGTCTCGAGCACATTTAGTCTTGTGCCTCGTAGGTGGTAGATTTCTTTTGGCATGAGTTAGATTTTCCTGACTTATGCGTTTTGGGCACATTTTATCTTATACCCCCGTCATGACAAGTTGCTTATGACATAGGTCAGGTTTTCCCAACTCACGTGTCTTGGTTATATTATATCTTATGCCTACTATCGTAGTAGCTTTCTTTTAACGCGGGTCGGGTTTTCTCAACTGACATGTCTCATGCACATTTTACCTTGTGTTTTCCATCGTGACAAGTTTTTTTTAAAGCAGATCGAGTTTTTCACGTATTGGTCACTTTTATATTTTCCAAAATGATCTTCGTATATTGATTATCTTTACATTTTTCAAGGCGCCTCTTCTCGATCAATATCCTTTTAGAATTGACCCAAAAGGACATTTGTCAGGAGGAGAGAGATTGATCATCTTATTATAAATCTTCCTTGACCATGGGGGGTGAGGCTCATTTTTTCATTTGACCCTCCAAAGCCCTCTTAGGAGCTACCTTTGTAACCCTGGTTCTTTGTAAGGTGAGTCAATTTCTTCGTCTTTTTGATGCGTTAGTTCAACAACACCTCGATTTTCTAACATCCTACTCTTTTGCCTCCGTAGATAGGGATATCTGTCCTTTTTTGTACTAGCTCCTCTCAATCTCATGATTGTTAGATAATCAGAGGGGTCGACGCTCCATCCTTGGACAACATAAGAGTGGAGGAAGTCTCGACCTTCCCCTTGTCGAGGGAGTCAATTCTTGTGAACCTGAAGGTTCTTTAGGATTTAGATTTGATAAAAAATACGTACAATAAAAGACTTAGTGGCGAGTGCACAACTCATGGATCACTTGCTAACCAGGTATTCTATCCTAACCGAGTTTGACTTATAAATCCTTTGGCTCGATCACCATCCATTCGACCTTATGTTTAGGTCCTTTTGCTTGTCTTTTGATGCTCTAGAGGTAGGACTTTATTTTTTCCTCTACCCAATGATAGTGTCTTGCCTACAATGGTAGAGGACATCACCCTCATAGATGACAACTAACTTGTGATGCTACTTAGTAGTATTCATAAAAAATATTGACATGTCGATATTACCTCGACGTGCAAACTCTTTGTTACCTGCTTTCAACTATGCAAGGTGAATGTGGCTACTATCTGATTACTCGGGAGGATTTTAGAGTTAATGGTGCCTCTATTGATAATAAAGGTTTAAAGAGGCACTTCTTCCTTATAAGTTCAGGTCAAGATTGGATGTTCAGTCTCACCTGGTCGGCACACCTCATAGATAACATAGTTCTCTTATTGTTGGATGAAGAGGTAGATCAAGTGTTTAGGTTGAGAGATATACTCTCTTCTTCTGAGCCCATCCAAAAAATGAATGAGGATTGGTTGATCGATGTGAGTCTCAACCTGGCTCCTTGAAGTATGACCTAAACACTTTGTCTTCTCACTTCCTTTTATACTTTGAAGAAAATCTTAGATTTTGATGATGAAATCAATTGGTAAATTATTTGATCTAATCCATGTGTTGAGATAAGTGTACAGGATCAACTACGATAGTAATAAGACGTAAAGCAAACGATGGGCCGGAGTCGACGACTCGAATGATATACCAGGAGCTCACCACGAGTTCATTGTGAGATCACCAGAAGCATGTTGGAAGACTCGCCGAAAGCTCGTCGAGAGATCGCCGGAAGCACGTCGGACGACTAGCCGAGAGTTGGTCGGGAGTTCGCTGGAAGTTTGCCGAGTGAAGAATCAACATACCAAACTATGCTTGCCTTAATCGTAGTTAGAACGATAATTAGAGTTGATTTGGGAAGTAATCCCATCAACTCTGTTAGGGGTCAACTGGGCTTGAGTTGGGCTAGTTTAGGCCGGAGTCAAGGCCCAACCAAGATGCTGAATTCCTTGCTGATAGTGGCACCGCTTGGAAAGCAGCACCCCAGGTGGTCTGGGCGGTAGTACCGCCGATAATTATTGCTGCCAGTGGTGGTACCGCCTAGATTGAGCGGTAGTACCTCCCAGTGTCAGGTGTCAAGCGGTGGTACCGCCCAGTAATGGTAGTGGTACCACTAGGACCCCGAAAATCCAGGATTAGACACTTTTTTGCTCCATTTTTGAAGCCATTGGGGCCTACAAAAACCCCACTCTTTTCTGCATGAAAGGGCATGAAAGCATTGAGATAATCTTGAATTGTTGGGGTGTAAAAGTGTTGTAAACAAGTGCTAGAGTTCTCCTCCTCCCTTTCTAAGTTTTGAGATTATTCAAGAGAGGTGTGAGATTTGTAAGGGTTCTCTCCTAAACCCGTGAAAAGGAGAAAGTGCTGTAAGAGGTAGTTGGTCTTCGCCTATTGAAGGAAGGCCTTTAGTGGACGTTGGTGACCTCGACGGAGGAGGAATCTGAAAGTGGATGCAAGTCACAAAGACCGAACCACTCTAAATTTTGGTTTGCTTTTCAATTTGTGCAAGTTTCATTACTGCGAGCTACATTACTTTCTTACTGCCTTCTTTAAACTTACATACACTTTCAAGTTAAACTCCTGACGAAACGATTTTCGTCGGAATCGGTTCTAATCGAAACATAAAATTTTGAAATCATGATAGTTTTCCACTGTACTAATTCACCCCCACCCCCCCCCCCTCTTAGTGCCGCTCTTGATCCTAATTCACCCCCCCCTCAGATTAGACCTTATTCGATAGGGAGATTACTATTAGGGAGCATCGACATGACTCCCTTAGGTTTCTTCTTAGCTCGTCAATATCAGTTTTTATTGAGAACTTCATCACTATGTGATAGATCGACACCACCACCCTCAATCTTTTCAGCGTAGATTGATCCATAATTGCATTATATGTCGAGGGGACATCCACCACCATGAATCTAGCCAATATCGTTTTGGAGCTAGGCTCATCTTTGAATGTGACGTGCAGGTTCATGGTTCCAAAAAGAGAGATAAAGTTACTAGTGAACCCCATTAGCGAAGAAGTCATAGGGGTAAATTCGTTACTCGAGAGCTTGAGTTTTTAGAAAGCATCAAAGTAAAGAATATCAGTAGAACTACTTATGTCTATCATACCATCTTCATTCAAGCATTGATCATCCTTATAGAAACTACTAAAGTATTATCGTGGTTTGGGTCGAGGTACTCCGTCTCTTCCTCCTTGAATGTTATCTCCAGGTTGCCCTTCATCCTTTAGCATTTTTTAATAGTAGCTTGGGCATAAACTTTACGACTCGAGGAGCTGTCTCGCCCCAAGGAGAGTCCATCAATAATGATGTATGATGACATCAAATCTGTCTCTCCATCGATCGCTGATATTAGGGTGAGGGATCATGGTGCTTTTGAATGACCCGCTCAAGGTGTCTCTATTGTATGAGTTCTTCAGTTTGCTCTTTGAAGTCACGATAATCTTTTATGTTGTGACCGTAATCCCGATGAAACCAATAGTATTTTGACTCAGTCTCTTTTTGCCAATAGAGCCTTCATCAAGTTAGGGTCTTTCAAGAGACCCCTTCTTTTTTATCTATAGAAAAACTTTAATTTTAGACATATTTAGGAGGATTAGCTCGAACCTTGGGTAAGGTAACATAGGTTGTTCGTTCCTCCTTCATCGCGATGCCCTCGAGGTTAAGGTGGATTATGGTCGCTCCTACTTTAGTCTCTTATGTGAC